ACTTCTTCGGGTTGTAGCCCACGAAAGCTTATGCTCTAATAAATTTGTTAGTCTCTAAGGTGCCACAAGTACTCCTGTTCTTTTTGAGGATACAGACTAACACGGCTGCTACCCTGAAACTTGCTCTTTTAAGACTTCTGAAAGCATGCTCCACACACCTCATCCCTCTCAGATTTTGGAAGGCACTTCAGATTCTTAAATCTTGGGTCGAGTGCTGTAACTATCTTTAGAAATCTCACATTGGTTCCGTCTTTGCGTTTTGTCAAATCTGCAGTGAAAAGGTTCTTAAAACGAACAACATGCTGGGTCATCAATCCGAGACTGCTATAACATGAAATATATGGCAGAATGCAGGTAAAACACAGAGCAGGAGACATACAATTCTCCCCCAAAGAGTTCAGTCACAAATTTAATTAACACTTTTTTTTTTAAATGAGCATCATCAGCATGGAAGCATGTACTTTGGAATGGTGGCCAGGCATGAAGGGGCATATAAATGTTTAGCATACCTGAGACATAAATACCATGCATGGCACTTTTGTAGCCGGCATTGCAAACTTCTGTTCTCTCTTTCAGGTGACACTGTAAATAAGAAGCAGGCAGCAATATCTCCCGTAAACGTAAACAAACTTATTTCTCTTAGTGCTTGGCGGCACAAGAAGTAGGACTGAGTGGACTTGTAGGCTCTAAAGTTCTACGTTGTTTTGTTATGGAGTGCAGTTATGTAACCAAAAAAAAACCCCTACATTTGTAAGTTCCGCTTTCATGATAAAAAGATTGCACTTTGGTACTTGTATGAGGTGAATTGAAAAATACTATTTCTTTTGTCATTTTTATTGTGCAAATATTTGTAAGAAAAATAATGTAAAGTGAGCACTTTTGTATTCTGTGTTGTAATTGAAATAAATATATCTGAAAATGTAGAAAAACATCCAAGATATTTAATACATTTCAATTGGTATTCTATTGTCTAACAGTGTGATTAAAACTGCGATTAATCGCGATTAATTTTTTTAATCGCAATTACTTTTTTTTTCAGATAATTGCATGAGTTAACTGTGATTAATCAACTGCCCTAATAAGAATACAAAAGTGTGTCAGCACACTATTACTGAAAAATTGCTTACTTTCTCATTTTTACCATATAATTATAAAATAAATCATGACACCCCCCTGGTTGAGAAACACTGATATAATATATAGAGTAGCATAAACAAGTCATTGTCTTTATGAAATTTTAGTTTGTACTGACTTTGGTAGTGCTTTTAGCCCATTGTAAAACTAGGCAACTATCTAGATGAGTTGACGTATCCCTGGAAGACCTCTGCATACCCTCAGGGATTTATGTACCCCTGGTTGAGAACCACTGATATAAATGGTTTCTTCACGTCAATATGAGGTGAAGACATTAACACATCCATGTATTTATAAATTCTAATAAACTGGAAGAGACTAACACATTGGACTTGGATAAAATTACAATACAAAAAACAGCGATCAAAGATGAGTTACGTCCATGGGTGACAGATTAATTCAGGAAACAAATAGTTGAGCTAAGAATTAATTATTTTTGGAACACCTTTGAAATGGAGAAATATCAATAGTTAAAAAAAGTTCCTAGGGAAGAGGCTAAACTATTATGGGCCATCAATGGGCTAAGTCCTTTTGACCCATGTACAGAAGGTCTACTCTATGTGTGGATCTTTCCCACATATATTGTGAGAGAGGGGAGAACGAGGGTGTATCAGTTTCTTCACTGCAGGTTTTTCCCCAGTCTCTGCAAGTCTGGTGATTTGCTGGGGTAGAAGTTAAGAAATATTCCCCACATCAGCACTGGAGTCATCCCCAGAAGTGTAATACAGAGGCAGAATAAAAACGGATCATGAAATATAAGCAGCATTACATTTAATGGCAGGGCAGGGTAGTTTTGTTTGTGGACAGCAGGCCACCATTTCTGAAATCAGGAGAGAAGTTTTAGCTGATCATGCTTTTCTTCCCCAAATTTGACATGGAATTTCTGCTCTCCTTTGGCAAAAAAATATTTAGAAATATGCAGGACATAGATGGCAGAGTTGTCAGCAAACTACTTCAGACATTAATATTCTATGGCATGCCTATGAGAACACACACTTACATACTTCCTGCATGTACCATACATCATATTTAATCCATTTTACAAAGCGGATTTTGAACTAGTATGTAAATGCTTTCTAGTTTAGAAATCACAGATCTGATCAACTCTAAAGGCTCTCAAAAGTAGTCAGTCATGGCATTCCATTGTACCAGTTTAATAAATTATTATTAAAAATGTTCAGGAAATTTTTGTTGCAAAAAATGTACTGTTCAAAGCTAGAAAGCAATTTTTAAACAACTTTACCATGTTTCCCCCTACTTCCAATATATTAAGTTATAAGACATTATTACATTTAATTTTTAATTTCATTTAAATCAAATAAGTGTCTTAAATGAATTGATAAAGGATTTATGACGACATTGTGGCAGCTTATGCTGACAGACTATTATAACTGTAATTACAAGCTGTGATATAAAGAATTGAAAACCTCCTTTGGATCCAATTTTACAAGGATTGAAAGCATACAACTATAAAGGAAATTATAACTTTCCATAACAAACATTTCTATATTTTTTTTTTTGGAAAGTAAATCTTTTGTAAATCTGTGCTGAGCTGTCATCAATGCTATTAAGAATTTATTTAACACCTTAAATTAAATAGGACTGATAACTGACAAACTCAACCTATTCACATTTCAGTGGCACAAGTGATAGATACAGTATGCTCAGAAAGCAGAAAAGATGAAGGTTTAATTATAAAAAAAAGCAAATACCAGTATGCCTTTCAAGAACTATTTTTGGGGAAGAATCATGTCCTTTTAATTACTTAAGGGAATTCTTGTAGCTATATTTAAAGTAACTATTTACAGTCCAATCCCAGGCCCAGTGATTTCAGTACACTGAGGGTTACTGCAAGCCTAAAGCTCAAGTAAAGCTTTCTTCTTCCTTGTGAATGGTGAGAGAGTTAGAGATATGCACTGGGCTTTGAGGGGGGCTTAGGGAGCTCATGTCCTCCCATCAGAGTTAACTGCAGCCTCTCAACCTTTTATATACTGGGCCAAATATCCTCAGAATCTATCAGCTTGGCATGCAGCTAGCTTATGTAGAGTGCTGGGGCTTAAGTAATCAATTCTTCAAAGTAAACTAGGTTCTGATAACCTGGCTGCAAGACATTAACTTGAACCACATATTACTAGACAATAGTTTATGAAATTCCCTTTCTAACTAAGCAGGATTTAAATATATGCCTGCTATCTTTTCAAAGGACTTTGAGCAATAGAATAGACCAAACTGCTCAAATTGCTGCCATTTGAATGGGGGAAAAAAAATTAAATTTTTATGACTCACATTGCTTTCTGTATTAAAGTGGGAGGAAGGGAAGAAGATTAAAAACCTCTCATATTCACGTTCACAATCTGACAAATCAACGTTTTATAGAGCTTCTATAGTTTGGATAGATAGAAAAGGTATTGGAACTCTAAAAAGATTATTTAAACTATATTTATTTGCATTATTACTTAATAGAGGTAACTGAACAAAAATGTGAATATCTTAAGAATCTGTGCATAAAGCTGCATACAGAAAAGTAACAATATCTCAGTCTCTCAGTAACAGGATCTCAGTCTACCACCAAAGGATTTACAGTAGGGCTCCTTTAAAGATACTGCGATCTTGGCAAAATATTGTTCAGTTTTTGTGCTTAACCCATTTTCTGTTTTTCTGGTGTGATCCACTAAACTCCCTTACCCCAGTCAGTTCCATCTCCTGAACTTCTAGATTCTCCGTCTCCATCATCTGATCCAACCAAGAAGTCAAACTCTTTCAAAGCTTCTTCTGTATCTCTGTCTTCACTGCTATCAGACACCACTCTTCTCCTCACCATCTAAATAAAAAGAAAAAAGCTAAATTAAACTAAAAATACAACTTTGTATCTGCCAGTGCTATTTGCTTTCACATGTGGAACTAACAATTAGAACAGAGGCAGGAAAAAATTAAACATAGGGTACCTCTATTTTAGCGGTGGGGGCAGGGGGAAACAGGACAAAGTAAACACATTTGATTTATTCAAACTGTAAAGCTAAAGGAAAGTCAAAAACAACAATTTTTTTCACACTAAAGCAGTCAATACACAACCTTAGCACATTAAGGGCTATACTGGTAATTTATCAGGGATACAGTCTACAAGTGTGAGTCTGTATTCCTATGTTCACCCTTTTTACAAAACTATAATGGATTTAGTACAAAGTATGCCTTGTGAGGTATCCTTTGAAAAATCATAACGTGCTGATCATTATTGTCCTGGTAAAATATGTGTGGCAACATTGTATGTAAAGTTATAAGAGTCTACTGTAGAACATTACTGAGACTGCTTTGAATTCATTTAGCTTAAGTTCAGTATTAGATGCATTTTACCTTTTATTTACTTGTAACCAATTCTGACCTATAGGACTCACTTCTTGTAATCACTTAAAACCTTTCTGTAGTTAATAAACTTGTTTTATCTAAACAATGTGTTTTTGGATCGAAATATTTGGGAAGCATCATTTGGGCACTACAAGACGTATATTTCTGGGGGAAAGTCTGGGATTGGTGTCGTCCTGCAATGTACTTCAGGAGTGGCTAGCTATAGCACTCATATAATCTAGCTGGAGTTTGTGTGTGAGCAAACGGAGTGGTTGCTCTCAGCATAGCTGTGTAAGAGGCACCCCAGGTTTGAGAATTGAGGGGACACATTTATCCACCTGTCCAGACTGTACCATGGGTAATGTCACAACAAGTAGCTTGTGTATAAACATATATGCAAGGATTTTAGTCCAAAATAAATGCATAGTGGTTGGTTTTTACAAGAGGGCAAAAGTGTACACAGCACTTCACAAAAGCATCAAGAAAGGCAAGTATCAGTGGCCAGATAGGCTCTACTTTTCTGAAATCAGAGTTTTTGATATCCAGATTTGTCTTTGATGTGCCCCACCCTATAGACACACACAAAAACATAACAGGTGAGAGTCTGTTGAGTAGCTGGTGTCTTCTGATTTGTTCAGATTCATCTTTGCTGGGCAAAATGGTGGTGATGACCTTGCCTATTTGTTGCACATTTTACCATCACCATCTATGTTTTTGTCACTTCTAAATTGGATTTTCTTTGGTCACTAACACCATCTCAGTAATTTATTAAAAAACAAAAAGTTCTAAGCTACAGTAATTCATACTATACTAGTCATACAAAATTTATTTTTCCTACAACAAAAGTGGATTGTCTAGGTTAAAGTCATTTAATTAACCAGTGACTTAGATTTGTTATTGTAAATTTTAATGGAGTCTATTTAAGTGAAAAACTGCTTTTGAGCAGTACTTATTTCACTTAGGCCTGATCTATACTAAAAAATTAGGTTGGCATAATTATGTGAAAAATCCACACCACTGAGTGGCATAGTTAAGCCGATCTAAGCAGTAGTGCAGTGATACTCAATAGGCAGCCTCCGAGCCAAATGTGTTCCATCAAGGCTTCCTGTGTGGCCCATCAGCTCCCCTTAAAAATGTTTATAATTAAATTCACGAATAGTGATGCGTTGCCTACTATTTGCCTATGACTGTTTTTATCTCTGACAAATAGGAAAAGAGGACATTGTGAACCACGTGAAGCAAGTTTCCCTGTCTAATTCTATGGCAGTGTGAAGATTGGAGATAAATTACAAGGATTGTCTGTCAGCACTGCTTTATGGTTTTAAAAATGCCAAATACACGTCTCTTGATGAGGCTGAATCAAGCGATTTAAATGACACTGCACAGCTATCACTGTTCGTTAGATTTTATGACGGTGAAATTTTCAAGGAAGAATTTTTGTGCTTCATACCATTAGAAACACACCCAGGAGAGATCATTTTTGCAAAGGTAAAAGGCTTATTGAAAAAAATGTTTTAGATCAGCAGAAAGTAAATTTGCTTGTTACAGATGGCGGTCCCTTGATGACAGAGAAAGAAAGGCATTTATTTGTACTTCCTCGGTCTATCACTATTGTACCATCAAACAACTAATTGTTCCGTTATTTTAAAATCATATTTAAATACCACTAACTGATTAGACAAACATGATTTATTAGGACAAAATTTTCAGACATTTTCATTTGATCAATTGTAACCTTACCATGCATTGCATACTCAAAAGGAAGTTTAGTCACTTTGTAGTAGTATTGTTTGTATTTTATATAATTTAGAATGAAGGATAAAGAATAATAATGTAGCATGTATTGGTGTATGATTTGATCATATCCTGCCAGCCTACCTTTTTGAATAACAGAAAGAAATAACCTAATGGGCCATTGGTAAAGATTCATCAGCCAGAATCTGTGTCTGTGCTGATTTCAAGGCAGTGACAGACCTTTGAGGGTCACCAATTTGTTGTAGGTTTAGCATTTTAAAATAAGTAAAACAATGCCTGATTGTTTTCTTTTGCATTGCAACTTGATGTTCAAAATGTTCTATGTAAATTAATTTTGTTGTGTGTGTGAATGAGGAATGTGTGTGTTAAGAGATAAGCGTAAAGACCACTGCTGAACCAGATGGTCTATGGAGGAACTGGAGACAGATGCAAGGGCGCCAAGAAGCTGCAACACACCCCTATTAAAATGTCAGAGGAGGGCAGATTAAAGACTAAAAATGAGACAGGCACCTATCAATGGGAACAAGAAAGCTGTAATCACAATCAGCATGGGATAACTCCCTGAGGAACTTAATAAAAGAAAAAAAAACATTTAAAAAAAACAAGCACTCGTCAAACAATTGATTACAGCATGACGGTGCAAAACTCATTGGTTCCAACGAAGGAAAATCACAATATAAACAGGGTGCCTTGCCAAGAAACGTTGGGTTCGTCCTGCCAAGACTTCCCCGGAGCAGTGTGTCACGACCGACGGAACCCAGCTCCTCCCTACCGGTGATCAACCTAGCTGGCCACTAGATTGATCCGGACTCTGGACTGGTAACTATAACATCGCTTGGCGGGACTCTGTGTGTGTGTGTATATGTGTCTGTGTGTGTGGTGACTGAATGCATATGCTAATTGTTGTATCTTCAATAAACATGGTGTATTGCCTTTTCCCCTGAAAAAGATTGTGTGTGCTTCTTATAAGCATAACAATTTGACAAAACAAAAAGGGATTGGGTTAAATAATAGGGTTGGGTTAATTCATATATTACAGGTACATTTACTTTAAGATTCTCTACAAGCTGCTAAAAATGAAATGTAATACGTTTTGGGAAACTGCAAAAAGCATTTTCCTCAAATTAGTTTAAAAGTTTTAAGCCAATCTAAGCAAATATTTCGCATCAAATGGATTTCTGATTTAGCATTACAGATTATACTTCTCAACGTCAAAAGAAGGCAGAAGACTGAATTAGAAGGTGTGTGGTTCCTAAAAAATAAAATTGATCAGATGTTCATTAAAAATAATTAGGTTCACAAACTTCTGGATTCAAATAGAGAAGAAGGTGGCAGGAGGGTTATTTTAAAAAAAAAATAAAGCTAACAGAATAGACCAAAGAGTAAAAAATAACATTTGGGGATCATTTTCAGGCTCCAAGTAGGCACGCTTACTTTGTGCACAAATTCAGAAGCGCAAATCTTACGCTTCCCAACGAGGCAGATATACATTTAATCATATATGGGGTACATTTAATAATTTGCATGAGGCACATGCAGATGCGCATGTATAAGTGACAGAGAATCAACCTGTTTACGTTTCCTTAACCTCACACTTTCCTTTTACTTTTCTGTTCACCACAAGTTTTTCAACAATGAGATTTTTTTGACCCACCGTTGAGGTATCAATCATTGTTTTCTCTCTTCCTTCAATATCTTCATCCTCATCTTCATCACTGAAATCTGCAGCTGCATTTTCAAGAAATTTGAAGGTCTCTAGCAGAGAGGCAGAGTCTGTCAATTCTGGTTTCCTGGATAAAAAACATATTTTGAATAAAGAAGAGCAAAAACAAAAACAAAAATTGCATTCACCAATCTGGTTGTTTTGTTCTGTAATGACCAATACTCTGCAAGATAAAAATAAGTCAGTTGGTAAAATTGGACAATGATTATATGTAATTATATTTGTGGGCAAACAATATAATATTAACGATGGGTTTTTTTTTTTTTAACCACTCTGTAATTATTTCTTACTCAGCTGCAATTCCCCACTTAGCTGCTTCAATTTTTTGAAGTATTTTAGAACAGTTTCCAGCTGGGCCCACATCACAAAACACCATCACAACTGGCACTCTTCTTGGCAGTTGCAATAGGGAGCACAAGGATTGAACAAGACAGCCAAGCTAGCTTTCATGCATTCACAGGGGCGCAGTAATGTGGCAGAGCAAAATATGACTTCACTGCTTCCTGTGATGCCCCCATCTTGCTGGGAAACAGAAGGCTCCAGACCCATCAATCACGCACCTTTGATGAGTACTAAATTTGCTACTGTAAAACAGTTCAATGGAAAAAAATCTGTTTAAGACTAAATTATGTAGTTAACTCTAAAGAGCAGTTAACATTTAACAAAATATAATTTTGCTAACATTCCTTTTGTCAATTCTGGCAAAAATCCAGAAAATGTCTCTGGAACAGGAAGGGTTGCTATGTCAACAACTGTTAAGAGAAAGAATCCAAGCTAGAGCCTGTGACCATTAATCGAGGTAATGTTGATGAACATGCAGTACAGTAAAAGAGATTCTAAGAATAAACACAATTAGTGAATCAGTACTTCAAACTCCTAGGATGAACAAGAATCCATAAAACCAATCAGTCTAACACTACTCGCACTGGGACAGAACTCTGAACAAAGATTCTGGTAGGATAGCTAAATACAGATGGAAAAGTGGGAAAAATCTCCAAACCCCAGAGATATACGGAGAAATGAAGCTTCACCTTGCAGACATATCGTCCCTGCCTTGTGCTCTGGGAGATTTGGCAATCTAATAGCATTAACACCTAATGCTTTTACTTGTGGTGTTCTTGCCATTTGGCAAATCATATGAATATCTAATATTTTTACTTGCTATTACAAGTGATGTCTAAAAATGCTGTTAACTGAAAAATATGAGAGAAAACGTATCTATTTTTTAGCTTGTTTACACTGTGCATTCGACAGCACTTTGTGTAAAGTCAGTTTCAAGATTTACCCTGTTTAGTCAGCTTCCTTTACTATTCGTATGGGCCTTCACACAGCAACAGGAGAGTGAAAATCATTAAAAATTATGAGTATGTGATTTGAAGAAAATTGGCAGGACTACTCAAGGATAAGGGTAGTAACTGAAATTACTTTTAACTCAATTAAAAAAATGAAATAGATTTCAACTTTACATTACCAATTATATTAGAATACCAGAAGAAAAAGTTTGAAATAGTTGAAAGTGAAACCTGTGGCTGACAGTTGGTTGATGTGTGACGCGTAATCGTGATAATGATAAAAGGCTGAACAGCAGGATAATGACAAAAGCAGCCGAAGTAGGGACTGCTGCATTAAGTGAGAGGGGGAAAAACAGGACTCAGCTGAGGGCACCCTTCCCTATGGCACCCTTATGGACTCATAACTGTGCAGGGGAAATTCCTCGCACACACATTGAGGGCAAGAGGACCAGGTGGTGCAATATGCTTTTTTAATGATTTCAGGTTTGGGAAATATCTGAACTCACTCCTTTTTGGAATAAAGAGCATAACTACCCTCACGGAACTCCCAATCCTCTTTGAGATAACGTAGAGCATACACCTCCGCCCCCAATTCTGTTCTATGAGAAGTACCCCATAGATATCATTTAAAGCTCTCTCTGATGTGACTGGTCTCAACATACCAGGCAACCAACTTCAATTCCTGCCCTGAATTGTTCCAGCAAAAATTTTGGCTTGGGAGCCAGTTGGTCAAAATCTTAAAACATAAGATACTAGTCCAAAACGTATAATGTTCATCTGGCTTTCAAGGTCTAAAATTTAGGAGCTGGTTTAAACACAGTAAACTGTAAAACACGGGACACTAAAATTTAACTCACTGTTTTGTATGGTGATGCCACTAAGAGCATATTGAATTTTCTTTGCTGCTTCTAACATGACCCATAATATTTTATAATTTAAAATTAAATTATTTAATATTATATTACAGACAGTTATTGTCTTTGTAATGACACCTGAGATCTTAATTACTGGGGCTTTCCTGGGCCTTCCTCCCTTTCAGTTGCTGTGCCCTCCCTCCCACAAGGAAAGAGGTTAGTTCCTTCTCAGACACTCTTGTCAGTGACTAACAGTATCAAAGACTGAAGACAGGTTGTCTTAAATAAAAGCAGACTTTATTGGTAAATTACAGAAACAGAGGAAATTCACAAAATAAAATAGTTAAATACAGGCTCACCTTAGACTAAAAAATGTTTAAGCAGGCCAATACAGAAAAAGTCTGTGTCTGACCCACAGTTTCAAAGGCCTAATCTAGAGCACCAGAAAGGTTTCATATGACCTAGGGTAGAGAGAGGGGTGGGAGAGCGTGTTTTAGCAAAATCCCCTCTCCCGCTTACAGAAAATACAGCTTTTTGTTCTCCCCAAGGCCTGCTTTGGGCCTCATATATATGTTACATCACTTTCCTAAGCTATTTTTTGTTGACTCCTTGTCTCTTCCTACCAACAAAATCTGTTCAAATGTGAGGCCATAGTATCTTTAAAAACTCCCTTCTCGTGGTATGAAAGTTCTTTCAAGCCTGCCAAAATCTTAGTTAAGCTGTGTCTCAGACTGAGTACAGAAAACACATGCATACATATCAATTAGCTTATTCTTTTCTATGACTAGTGACTCTAAACATTTTGAAGAATTTTCATTACCATGCAGAGAGCCAGGCCCTTTATAATGCAGCATAACTAAAAATATGGAAATACATGTCACCAAATAAAGCTGTAGAACCACTTTAATATAATTTTTACCTTGTGTATAAATTTATGACAGGCTAGACAGTCTGTCACAATCTCTTTGAAAGTTCTAATGAATTAACACACACTATACAAGAAACAATGCAATACAAAATAAAAGTAGGAAGTAATACTTACAAAATGGTTTGGATGTAAACTGCAAGTTTACTGACTGAAGAAGCTTTCAGCCCATATAATTATGTCCCAACCAATGTACATATAAAGATAAGGCCACTTGACTAGCCAGACCACACCACAAACAATTTTTGTAAAAAAATAATTGGGGTAACTTTTAAAAGTTACTTCCTATTCATCTCTTTCCTCTTCTCTGCTTCCCTCTCCCCTATTTATTAACTTTTTTTGTCTCTTCCTCTTCACTCCATAAGTGCCTTGTATGAGGTTTCCAAGAACAAGGTACCAGTCCTGGTCACAGATGTGTGGCAGTGGAACGAGAGAGGCTTCTAAAGTGAAGCTGTTGTCGCTGGCCTGAGTGTCTTCATTGGATCAATAAGAGTGGGACTTCAAAGAACACGGTAAGGTGTTGCTTGTTGTTTGAAGCATTACTCCTAATGATCAGCTAAAGCCAACTGGCCCAGTAGCTTTCCATCAGAAACCCTGTTTAAGCTCATCTGGTGTGAGTGTCTGGGTGTGGCAAAAAGAGCTGTTTTTGAAGCCCCACTCAGGTCAAAGCAAGAGGGAGATAGGAATAGAGGAAAGGAGGGGAAATAAAAAGTGATATTTAAAAATAAAAAATAGTTTTTAAATGTTATAATTGATTTTATTTACTATTTGTCTCTACTTCACACAGTATTTTGGAATTATTTCCTTTCTCCAATTAAATTCAGAGGTTTAATTTTTTTTTCAATAAACCATTTTATAAGCATGCTAACACACACTATGTATGTTCATCAGCCAGTACAGAAAGAGCAGGTTGATTAAATGTGTAAGTGCTAAGAGGATTTATGGATGCAGGATTTACTCGGGTATTCTGCCTTTTGGAGTAGAAAGACATTTAGTTGCTTAAGTCCTGGTGGGAATGGTTTATTTTACTCCAGAAAATAAATCAGGTTCATGGAAAAATGCTTAATTATTCTCCTGATGTTAGGGAGCAGATTCCATGATGGTTTTCACTTGAGTTTATTTTGCTCATGTGCAAGATGTGAAACAGAAACCAGCTTTATTAAAATAAAAAGGTGCAAATCCAGTTTGAGATTAGAGAGAATACAGCCCAATCAGCTTTTTTTTGTTAAAAAAGTGGTTTTTTTTAACCAATGTTAGAACTCTTGAAATGAGCTTCGATTGGCCATTTAAATGCAATTTCTCATCTTTGAGCCCCGTTATCAAGTCCTCGGCATCATAAATTATCTATTTTATTATTAAACATTTTATTCCTTTATTCCATTTCACCAATTTTATTCTATTATATGTTTATTCTTCTGTCAATAATAAAAATATATCCTCAAAAAGAAATTAATTTGGACTACCTAGGATTCAGTTAAGGGGTAAAGTGATTAAAAATGAGATTCAAGGAATAAGCTAAAGATACTTAAATACTTTCATGTTGCACAAGGCTACACATGACAGTTTAGTGAGGCAGTTTCCATTTGTTTGGTTTAATGATATAAAACTTTGATGTGGGAAAAGCACTCATTCTGCTCACTGCAGGCATTGGAAATTTCAAATGTTAATAGAAAGTTATTTTTAGTATCTGTTTCTGAGTTCATTCATGCTGAGAAGTTGTACTTATCTTCTGTAATGCAAGAGGGTTGATCTGAAGAAAGTGAACATGCTCCCCTTTTAAATGCCATGAAACATATGGGAACAGGACTATCAATGTCAGGCTATCAAAATAATGTTTTCATAAATGGAATCAAAATCTTCCAGGAAGCATCCCAAATCCACATGATGTTCTTGAGTGTTAAAGTGTTCATGAGGATCTGTATATTAGCAGATATACAGGAATGTGTAAAAAGACAAATATTCAGCCATATGTTTAGTGACTACTGATAGACTATAC